GTTTCCAACCTGGAGTTGGCAACCCTATGTCCTTTCCAGGCAACCATCAGCCTACCTTTATCTGCCTTGTCTGTCTTCAGGTTTACATCCCCCTACCCCCCAGCCTCTGCCTAGGGAAAGGGCAGTCTTTCCCTGCAGTGGGAACCAAAGCAGCTGACATCATTCTCCTCTCCCCCGTATGATCCGCACAACAACCCTGTGAGGTATGTTAAGGTTGAAAGTGTGTGAATGGTCCATAATCCCCCAGGCAGCTTTTAAAACATGAACCTGGGACCTGCACACCATCTGTGGCAGTAATGGGGTGACTGCTGGCACCTTTTCCTATCATTTTTTGCCTTGTGGTATTCTGCTTGTGGTGTGATCTGTCTTCTTTGTGGTGTGGCATGATTGTGTTATTGGGTTTGTTTCTTTTGAAGGGGAAGTGTTGTGAGTGAGGACATATTTTACCTCAGAATACACCAGGTCGCATAAGCAACTGACAGTTCCAACTGTTTTGCGGGGGGGGGGAGTTTGAGGTGTGGAATGGAGTGAAGTCCAATCAGCTTCCATATGCAAATGACCTTGAAACGCTGGCTCAATCAGAGAAGAGTGGGCTGAAGCGGCCCAGCCGTAGAAGCCCCGTCCCTGCGTTCAGTCTGCAGATGGTCCTCTCCTGTCAGAGTCCCAGAGCAGACTGAGCAGAATGAACCGAACGGGGCTGACATGGGCGGGACTACACAAAGCAGCCAGTCAACCCAGCCAGCATCTTCTGACTGACAGTTCTTGCGGCCAAACACTAAAGGTGTGCATTTTGGAACGTTGGAGCCCACTACGGCTTTATATATAAGGGAGAGATAATATATATTTTAACAACAGCCAGAATCTTGATTGCAAAGTATTGGAAAGCGGACAGAACTCCATCAAAGGAAGAACTAGTTCAGAAACTGTTGAATATGGCTGAAATGGACAGATTAACCTCTTTCTTACAAGGGAAAGAAGAAGAAACCCATGCAAAACTGTGGTCAAGATTGTATAACCAAAAATGTATCGGAATGTAGACTCTCTTATTATGATTCAATGTAAGCATATTTTTGTGTTATAATTTAAAACTATAAATAAAAACTTTTTAAAAAAAGAAACATGAAATTGTTCGGAACATTTGAGTGGAGCTCTGCGGCGGTTGCGTGTTTACCCATTTATGCGCATATCACCTTTAAATGGCGGCCGCTCAGGATGGTCTGGAGTAGACCATCCCGACGGGCTGATTTGTGCGCTGGAATGATCAGACAGAGGAAAGTCCATCATTGGCCCGTCAGCAATCAAAAGTACCGGATTTTCACCAGTATCTTTTAAGTACGGTTCCCTGGGGGGGCTAAACGGGCTGATCACAGAAGCGGAACCTTTCACAGATGTCGCTGTCTCATCGTTCCCTTTAAATCCACCAGGCATCCGTGCCTGGGGTGGATGTAAGGACCCGTCTGATCAGGACCTGAGACCCTGGAGAGCTACTGCTAGTCTGAGTAGACAACACTGACCTTGATAGACCAGTGATCTGATTCGATATAAAGCTGCTTCATGTGTCTCTGGCGAAAATTATGCAGGGTGTCCCCCCCCCCTTCTCAAAGGCCTGAAAGTTCTTGAAGGTTAGTTATGGGCCTTGCTGATATTGAATTAACATTGAACTAATAGGTGGTTCTGTTGATTGTGTTGATTTTGTGTGTGAAAGCAGATAAAAGAAGGTTTATATATTTATGAAATATGAGACCAATGCTAATGTCTTACACACCGCACTTTGAGTAAACAAAACTGGTTGCTTCTCATCTCAAGCAGGATGTGGGTATGATTGCCTGTTGCATGTGCATTACATGTGGGCGTGATCACCATATAATTCCAGAATGGTTAAGGGAACAGCCAGGAAATAATGGGGGGGGGGGGAATTAAGTCATCTCTGGAGACCATATAGTTTGTGTGGCAGGAAGTGCTGAGAATTCCCACAGTTTGTGCTCATTCTGTAAATGTTTTCACAACGTGTTTTTTTCTGGAGAGCAGAGGTCAGGAGTTTGTTCAGATAAACAAAGTTGATATACAACTCATGTTTTGTATATTGCCTCAGTAAGATTGCAACTCATATAGGAAACAAATAGCATCGTTTCATATTGGAAAAATGTTCATTTGCACAGAACCTTTAATGATTAAACCCAGAAGGTGTTGCTTGTGTGAGGTTCCACCCAGATGCCACAGGATCCCTTTTTGTTATAGTTAGTAACAAATACAGTCTGGCTGCCCTTTCAGTCTGTCCCTTGTTTGTATCCTCAGGTTACATCTCCAGTTGCTATGCATATGATGTCAGCTAGGATTTTGAGATTACATCCTAGGCTCCTGGCATATTGTATATGAGGGCTGTGGTTTTGGCAGTAAGGGCAGCAGGACAAAAGTGTACAGAATATTTTTGGGTCAGCACCAATGTTCCCTCTAAGCTATGGAGTCTTGTGAGCAAAAATCCTACTTGGTGAGCTACCGGCATTAAAGTTGCGAGCCGGCAATTTGGCTTCTGCATAAATTAGTTTGCTCTGGAGCCATCCTTCCTGAGCCAAGACAAAAATGTGTGAGCCAGAGGCTAAAAAACTGTGAGCTAGCTCACACTGACTCAGCTTAGAGGGAACACTGGTCAGCACAGAGCCTGAACAAGTAACACAGTTGGGTTTTTTTCCAGTTCAAGTTGTATGTTGGGTGCCATACGCATGATGCTATTGGCTGTTCTCTTTCTTGATTTAAAAGGTGAATTTAGAAAGTGTTTGATAGCGTTTATCTGCAACTGCATTCTGAGCACAATCCAGAGGAAGATGGAAGGCCCCAAATTGTTGGACTTCCAGGCTTGCCAAGCACTGAAACCTTCTAAACAATTGTGATAACTGCTCCCTGGCCCATATTAAAGGAAGGATGGAACTGAATATTCTGTGCTATGCAAGTCTGCCCTCAAGGAGCTGCTAGTGAATGTCATACACAGAGAGAGAGAGAGTTACACGTATGTGTGTGCCCATGAGCTTCCTGCAGAACCACTGTTGCATTTAAAACTGTGTTAACAAAAGGGCTACATTTTTATCACAAGTCTTTCTTCAAATGCTGTTTCACTGTTTTCTTTTCCTCTAGGCTGTACTGAGTCCTCTCATTGCAATTGCACTGAAAATATCTCAGATTCATGAGAGGACAGGTCGGAAGGGTCCTACTGTCATCACCTGAACCAAGGAAGGATTGCTAACCCAGGGCCAAAGATGAGAAGGCAAAAGGGAGGAAGAAACTCTTGCCCAGACGCGCCAGCTGTTTGTGCCTTTGTATTACTCTAAGGGTTTGAGGTCAATAGGGAGGGCAGCGGTGGGGGAACAAAAATCCATTTCTGATCCTATTGTTCTGCTAAGACTGCGGTGTATTTAATTTTCTACTATCAGTATCTTCAGCATTTTCTTATAAAAAAAATAACCAAAGAGAAAGCTCCCTCTCATTTAGATTCAGTGATTAAAAAATGCTAGTATGACATACAGGATTGTTGTGATCTCCATTTTGTGTTTTGTGCTTGCAAAGCAGGAGTGGGCTGCATATAACCCCTGCTGAACATTTGTATAATGCACAGCCTCTTGTTGCTACTTTGTGAATCTTGGCTTCAACTAAAAAAAAAAAGTGAAAAATAGTTTATGGAAGCCAAGGTAAGCAAGTATGAAATTTAATGGAATAGTTTTCAGAAAGTTTAGAGACAAACTACATTTCTTGTTTTTGAAACCCATCCTAAGGTTCTGAAGGACTGCTTCATGCTCTGAACTAGAGATAACAGGGCTTTTCGTCACTTCAGCTGGTTGGAGGACTCAGCTGTTGTGAAGGGCTAGTCATACTACCTAAGATGCCAAGAATTGTTTCCTCATTATGAAATATCACAGAAAGCAGAGTTAAAGCAGTACAGCTCATGTTCAGAAACCGCAGTTGTGTGTTCTCAAACTCCTACCAGTATAGATCCTATGCTGTGCATGCTTGCTGAGAAGTAAGTAAGTGAGTTCAGTGGGACTTACTCTCTTGTAAGTGTGCATAGGAGTGGAGCCTTAAACTCAGATATGATATAATCAATATCCTTTCGAAAACAAACTGACAGCTGCCAATCTTGATGTCACAGGTGAAATTGCACAAATAAATAGTTTCTGTGCCAGCTGAAACCTGGCATCAATCCTATTCATGCATATTTTTATCTATAAGACATTTGAATTTAGAAGGTGAAAAATTAAATTACCGTGCAGCCAGGTTCCATTTTCTGCTCTTATTTACTAAGTTCTTCACATCCCAGTCAGCACAAATGTTTTGAATGTATGATTTACATGCTCATAATGAAAAACGCAGTAAAATGGTTATTGTTTAGCCACTTGCCTTGGAGGAGATCTGAGTCTTTGGTTAGACACTGTTTAGGTATGGAAAGTGCTGCAGTCCCATTCCTCCCCTGCCCTTTTAAAGAATAAATGATATATTATGAACTGTAGGGTTGCCAGTCTCCAGGCAGGCCTGGGGATCTCCCACTTTTACAACTGATCTCCAGCTGACAGAGATCAGCTCCCCTGGAGAAAATGGCTGCTTTGAAGGTGGACTCTATGGCATTGTACTATGCTGAGATCCTTCCCCTCCCCAAACCCCACCCTCTCCCGGATCCATCCCCAAAGTCTCCAGATATTTTCCAACCCAGACTTGGCAGCCCTAATGAACTGGTACCTAACAGGGCCATCCTAAGCAGAGTTATATCCTTCTAAGTCCATCACATTCAGCAGAACTCCACTCAGGATGACACTGTACTCATTTTTAAAGGCACCATACTCATTTTTAAACCTTTCCTTTTGTCTCAAGATGAATTTGTGTTCCATCTCATTAGGGATGAGTGGTCACTGGCACAGTAAAACTTACACGCATGACTCCTTTAAAAAGCCAGTCTGGTAGTTTGAATGCAAATACCAGACATACCTCCCAATGAGTACTCAGTCTGATTTAACCAGACTACAGTGCTGGACTGGCATTGTCCTCTGGTTAAATCAGTACAAGGTAACTGAATGAAAATGTTTCCAACTTACTGTTTTGAACTTTGGACCTCATACATGTGGAAACTATTAGGCAGAGGTTAGTCGCTTAGCTAGGATTAGAACCCAAAAAGCTTTCTGTCAAAGTCCTCACATAGCAGTTCCATATCTTGTGTTTACATTTTGTGCTGGCTTTTTAAAGAAACCATGTGATGTTGGAAATGGCCCATGTTCCTTGTGTCGCTCACCAACTTGTTAGTGTTTCTGTGGCCTCCTTAAAGTATTATGAGTAGCCGTGAAACACTGCATCCTCAGTGGTCCTCAGAGAACCACCACTGCCTTAGAGTAGCTCTTGCACAGAGGAGTGCTCACTCAAATTAATGGAATGTTGTTTTGGCTTTTTTAAATGTCATGATGCTAGAATACCTCTGTGGCAGCCATTTAAACTCTCATGGGTTCCTCTTGAACTTTCCCAGCACAATTTACATTATATCAGGTTATTGTCCTAACACTTTAAATGGAGGGGAGGTTGGAAAAGACAGACGACAGGCCAAATTACTTAATCTGAAGTGTATTGGAGATCATTGAACTAAATGTATTGGATTATTTCCTTACCTATAAACACACTGCTGTTATTTTGCATAACTCTGGTCAGAGGAATGTCAACCCTGTTTTTCAGGAAGGCTTCCTTTATCAAAAGAGCCTTGTAGCCTGCTGTGATAAATAGGAGTGCTATAGTTGTGAGTTTTTTTGGAGCACTGGGCCTCAAGAAGGAATTTATCCTTAATGAAATATCAGCTGTGGTTGCCCTCAAACTATAATGAATTGAATGAAGTTTTCAAACTAGTCTTCTAATTAATTTAGCTGTCTGAAAACCTACCAGATGCTTTACCAGAGAGTTGTAGGAACAGATGGGGCAAAGGAAGGATTGCTTGGTGAATACTTGGATATAACAAATGGTTCTTCTGCCTGTGAAAGAATAGCACCGCTCCATCTAAGGCACACAACATTTAACTGACAAGAACTTTTTGTGCATGTGTCTCATTTGAATGTTTTTCTTCTTTGGGAACAGAGATGTGGCTGTATGTCATTTGCGGAGATGGCTTTTGTGCCATTTGACACTTTTTATAGCATAGTGCAATGCATTGTGATGGTCGAGGGGCTCCTTTAAAGTGCAATTTTAGTGCCTTATGCTTTCGGGAATTAATTTGGTTTCTTTTTTATATATTTGTCAAAACTTGCTATGACATTTAATAAAGTGGAATGCCTTTTATCTGCCTTGCATGAAATTGCTGATGATAGGGCACAGCCCAACCTGATAGAACACAGATTGTTTTGTAGCTGCGTCAGTGTTATTGAGACTCTAATTGACTGTTTTCTCACTTTTAAAAACACAATGATTTATTGCAGTATTATTAAATATCTTTTTTAAATCCAAAGAAGTTTCATGGTTCCTTTTATATCGCTAGCATGTCCACAGTCCAAAACACATTTTTCCCCATGGCAAATTTTGGGGAGTACTGAAAAAAACCCTCTTATGAAATATTTTCTCTTTTAGAATGAGTGAAGTTCTTTTAAAGACAAGGCGGGCATGCTGTACATATTTATGGCTCTTAAATCCAAGATGCATTTCTGCAGCTAAAACATACTTAATGTTCAAGAGGGGAGCATGAAGGGCTTTCATTGCTTTTCAACTGTTGCATACCTTCTGTTGTCCTTTGGAGCTAACTTGTGGTTCACCTTTTCACCTCTCCCTCAAACCGCTGTGACACACATACCAGCAGATTGGGTTTTAAAAAAATAGATTATTGCTCTAACTTGCTGGAAGAAAAAAAGACCAGAAGGAGGTGGGGCAGAAACTGTACCAAAGTCTCAGAGGAAAAGTCTGAAAGATTCTTTTGAGAACTGAGCTTTGTCTAATCAGAGAGCAAAAATTAAGGTACATTTGTTAAGATACCTGTCAAGCATCTTAAGAGAATTTTCTAGTCTGTTCTAACTAAAGCAACACTGTTCCACAAGTTGCTTCACTGTCCTACACAGTTCCTTGATTTGCTACAGGTGTTAGGTGCCTCCCACACTGGCAGATATTTGGCAGTCTATCCAGGCCTGCTAATTTAGCTCACTTAGTTCAGCTGTGGATCTAGTATAGGAGGGGAAAGCTCATTCTCACCTGGAAGATTTAATGGACACTGTCCAGTGTTTGGTTGAGGAGGTCAGGAGGCTATGGTTTGCAGTTTTCTATAAAAGTAGTCAGTAAGAATAAATGTTCTCTCTCTCTTTTGCTTTATCCTTTCCTCTCCCTGCTACCAAGGACAAAACTGTTTTATGCTCAAGGACTCTTGCTTCCATAACCAACTGCACTGTGTTAGGACTCCAGTAAGAAGTAGCTAGTTAGCTTTCTTGTTTTTCTGTGCGTTTTACTGCCACTGAACTATATACTTTGTTTTTAAAGCTTTTTCTGAATTTCTTCAATAAAGCTCTATTTTGCTTTATGGTGTGTGCTACTCAGGGAATTTCTGAAACCAAACTGAGGTACAGTTTGGTTACATTATTGTACCAGGGCAGAGTCTGTCCTGACAGATAGCATAGGGTGCATCAGCTTGCATTTTTCTGTCAGGTGTCGGTTGTATTTGCAATTTTACTTATACTAAGCTAAAATATAACTTTTACATTCCATAAATATATCCATTATTGCAATTTTATATGCTAAGTTACAAATTATGCATTTTATGAAGATAAAGCAGTAAAATTAGTTTAGGTTTGATAGGTCAGTAAGTATTTTATATATTTCATTTTTTAAACAACATTTCCATTCTTTTCCATGTATGTATTATGATATCCATCCTAAACAAAGTCATACCTTCTAAGTCTATTCTGCTCAGGACGGCACTGGTGTCTTCTTGGCTTTCTTTTAAATAAGTGTTTTTTTCCATGGCTTTAAGATTTCTGGAAATTTTACATCTCTAGTCCACAGGCAGTATATTGCATGTGGCAGAAAATGGCGGGGTTACTGTGATGTTACAGTTGTCTTTCTTAAGTAGAGATTTCTTAGCCCTTTTTGTTGTTGTTCAATCGCACAGTCGAGTCCGACTCTTCGTGATCCTGTGGACCACATCACACCAGGGCCTCCTGTCTTCCGCTGTCCTCCGGAGTTTGCTTAATTTCATGTCCGTTGCATCGATAACACTGTCTAACTCTCTCATCCTTTGCTGTCCCCTTCTTCTTTGACCTTCAGTCTTTCCCAGCATCAGGGTCTTCTCCAGCGAGTGCTCCCTTTGGTGGCCAAAGTATTTGAGCTTCAGCTTCATTATCTGGCCTTCCAGGGAACAGTCAGGGTTGATTTCTTTTAGGATTGACTGATTTGATCTTCTTGCACTCCAAGGGACTCTCAAGAGTCTTCTCCAGCACCATAATTCGAAAGCGTCTATTCTTTGGCACTCAACCTTCTTTATGGTCCAACTCTCACAGCCATACATTACTACTGGGAATACCATTGCTTTGGCCATACAGATTTTTGTTAGTAGGGTGATGTCTACTTTTTATTATGCTGTCTAGGTTTGCAATAGCTTTCCTCCCAAGGAGCAGGCGTCTTTTAATTTCATGGCTGCAGTCATGGTCTGCAGTGATCTTGGA